ACCTTGCTCCTATAAGAGCAATATCGCCTATAAATGCGCAAAAGTAAATTGTGAGTAGAACACGGACAAAACATAGGCCGGAAAGCTATCTATCACCAAAGAGCGTTCTGAAGCTCCTCAGAAGGGGAATGGGAGAAGTACGGGAATGAGGGCAAGAAATAACAGAATGGGTATTGGCCGGCCAGGTCCAGTGTGATCGATATGCATGTCTATTTTGGCCATTTTTTCCCCTCAGCAACGCCCTTCCACTTTCTGAAACTGCACTTTCGATACAGTAATCGCAACCGTATCACATGGCCCTCAGCACCTTTCACAAATCATTCTCGCAAAAAATAACAGTTGTTTCAAATGAAATATCCCACGAGCAATCCACTCTATGCAGTGCTCAAAGGCCACGCCTACTCCATCTCAGGGATAAGGAGTGTAGTATGCCGCAGCTGAGTTCTCCACACTCCAATTTCATCAGTTGTTTTCTGAGTCTCCTAGATACTTCGGGTCAGTTGTAGACCCTACATTCTGAATCCTGGAATCCAGGTAAATGACGTTGGCAACACCTTTCCTAACATTCTATCACATTCTCTCATTCTCTGTACCCTTTAGGACCCCATATCCCAGCCGTTTCGCTAATCCACCGCTGTCACCTTTAAATTCAGATTAGGAATGCTTATAGCTTCATACCGGGAGCAGTTCGGCGATGTGGGGGCATTCTGCACTTTGCTACTAACCAGAGAGCTATTTCATGAGCTCACAAGGGTTGACAGGTTTTATCATGGTAGCTCGACGAGCCTACTCTAGCTTAACAAGAGTTCACAGGCTTTACCAGAGTGAAACCTGAAAACCGGAACTAGTGCAGCAGTGAAAGTGCAAAATGCCCCCCCCCGTCGTCGACAGCGCTGTCCTCCGCTTGAAGTGCTGAACTACTGAAATCCATTCAATTCCCGAAAGTACAAAAAGATTAGGAACCACATATATCACTTATGCGAGGAAAAAATTTCAAGCATCTCTAATAGATAAGAGCTGACAGCTGCCTAATGGCTCCTCGAAGACGCTTTTTTATAGTTACAGTAATTAGGCCGCATCATATCGCCTGCATTTACAACCCATTTACGAGTTTCCATTCGTAAACACGTGACGACCCTCCAAGAAACGATCACGACACTGATCAAGACCTATTTGTCACGGATGGCGTTACTCGCAGGACGTTGTTGTATACCTGCTCCGCCCTTAGCCCGGCGCACCGACGGATCATTTTGGTAAGACTTCACTTAGACTTCACCCAAGTCCTGCACGCAGTTGCCAAGTCTACTAGACACCTTCGAGGAGTTCTTTTTCCTCCCAGTTGGGCACAACCTAGTCGCGCTTGGTCGATAGTGCATTGGGAGCCACAGCTTGGCGAGCGCTAAATGTAGTTGAAGGGGCCAGACTTTGAGGGTGGAGCTACTACAGGGACTCTTATAAACTACACTCCTACGGGGCTCCATGAATCTGCACTCTTCATCCCATTCTGCCAGCACTCTTCATCCAATCTCCATACTACAGTCGGTCCCCTTCAACTACGTCAGAGCCGATAGCAAGGTCCCTAGTTCAACTGTCCTGAAGAGATTATTGTCCCAACCTCTTTTCCATTGTCTTGATCTTTTTCCGTGCTTCGTCGAACGTGATACAGGATGTCCAACACTTCCAAGGTGGCTTTGACTCTTGGAGCCTGAAGCTTCTCCACCTTCGATTGTCACAAAATTGCGTAAAAAGTGGCGCTCATCCTCACACCGCCTTTACTGAGGCGACAGCTTTTCTCGGCTTCCTACCCTGTTGTTCGTGACCTCACCCCCAATCCAGAGAAATACCTAAATACGCAGATATCAGCCTGTGACTGCTATGTACATCATTATAATACTGCACAGTTTGGCGACGGAGGGGGGGGGCATTTTGCACTTTTGCTACTTCGCATCGTCGTGTCGACCATCCAGAGAGCTTCTCTACTTTGACAGTTCAGACCATGATGCGCTCAACGGGCTTGCACCCCAGCTCCACATAGAGTCCACAAGGCTTACACAAGACTGAGACTTGTAAACCGGAACTAGTGAAGCAACGAAAGTGCAAAATGCCCCTCGTCGCCAAACTGCGCCCAGTTTTACGCTACTGGGTCGGAGATGGTCGTAGTGGCAAGTTTGCATGATCTCCGCGTGTCAGTCTGGTTAATTTGAGCATATCCGCTCGTGACCAAGTTTACATCCCTAGTGGTAGGTTGTGTTGTCTGGGGGACGAATAAGTTGAACAGAAACTACTAGGATTCTGAACAGAAGCACAATGCATACTGCACCCTTGAAACGTGCTGTTTAACCGCAAACGCGTTACCTCTTTCACCCTTCCCCTAGTCAGTGATATATTTTTCTAACTATATATCATAGTCAGATGTTTGTTTCCCTGATGGAGTCTTGCCCTGTGCACAAGAGCGCGATCTTGTGAGTTGCTGCTTTTGCCGTCCACTGTTCGATCTTAAACCCATTGTGTGTATAAAGAGCACATCAGGATGTCCTTGCTCAAATGGCTCTGCCGTGTCAAACATGGAGGCAGGTGGGAAGGGGAGGATAGGAGGAGGGGAGGACATTTCGCACATTTGCTACTTCCCCATCGACGTGTTGATCTATCCAGCAGCCTCTTCTCGAGTTGACATTTCTACCATGATGACTTGGCGACTCTGTTTCAGCTTCACAAGTGTTCACAGATTTCGCCACGAGTGAGAAATCTGTAAGGCCGGGAACAGAGAAGCAATGGAAAGTACAAATAATTCCGCCCTTCACGACGAACTGGCGCCCTGCTTTTTGTGGCCGAATGTGTCATTCCCCCTCGCACCCCTACTCGCCCCTAATTGTCGGGAATATATGAAAAGATTTCACGTACAATCTGTTTGCTTACGATGAAGGGGGCTGCCAGGCGAGTGGTTTGAACGCGATGCCATATCAGTGGTTTTCCACCAACTGCTGTCGCTTAACCCAATCTCTCTGACACGCCTCAACATCGCGCGTACTAAGACTGTTCTAAGGGGTCGCAGACTGAGGAAAAAACCCTGAGCGTCGTATTTTCCGGGTCTTTGCAGAGGATATGGTGGAGGTCATATTTGACAATGGAAAGATCTTTTCCATTATCAAATACGACCTCCACCATATCCTCTGCGCCTTCAGTCGCCTTGATAGAGGCGTTCTGGTATGGAGCTCGTACACACCAGAACGCCTCTATCAAGGCGACTGAACCAGCTTTGTCGCGAAGTATGAACTGCTTCCAGGCTTCCTTACCTTTTGACAATTTTTACCAACTTCAATTTCAGAACGCTTGCCAACGCTATGTAACGATACAACCATTCGAAGAGATCTGTGAGTTCATCGAGCAGAAACTCTTACAAGCGCTCTTCAACTGGATCGAAAAGAAGGAAGGAGAGATCGATCCGGAGGTGGACTGCGAGTACATGAGGTTATGCCCACGTCCCAAAGCATTCGAAGTGCTTCTTAGAGCACTTAAAGTGCCTGATGTTCCAGCTTATTGATAGTATAGTTGTAGATAAATCTCTCATTCATCAAGATTCTCCCAATAACTTTATCGTTCTAAGCAGTACAGATTTACTAGTAATAATATGATCAATATAAGGCGAAACTATCACATAAATGAAGGCGAGACAGATAAATCTACAGAATCACCCTTTACAGTACACAACGCATTGATTTGGCGATACAAAGTAGAAGCATTATTTCTACCATTTAAGTACAACTTCAATACAAAGGACATGATTTGAAGAAAAAATCTAGAAATGGAAAAATATGAAATGCTCCGTTATGTTTCAAACCACTTCGCGAAGGAAATGGAATCATTTGAAATAAAAAAACGATCTTTCTGAAAGAAATCAAATATGTAATGGATGAAGTGAACTATAAACAGGATGGAATAGATATGAGGAAAAGTTAAACGATATGGGGAAGTCTTACATAGTTCTAAGACAGTTAGAACAACGGCGGGTAACCGCACAAGGCAAGCAACAAAGAAATACTAGACCGAATGGGAAGGTGAATATTGTCAACAGAATCAAACAAATCAGGCAGCACATATCCGTTTCTCGTGTGACAACTCCAACGTTCTGAAAAAAAATATTAAAATTAAGAGGAAAGTAAGAAAACCAATATGAAATGGAGAAAATTGAAAAATTTTGTTTGCAAAAATGATTGCAGCGTGGAATGAGCTCAATACAATAAATCGTAACGATGAAAAGGGAGGCGAGATCCTGGATAATCAGCTTCACTGCGTCCATGCCACATTAAAAGCAGTTGGCACGATAATTTGGTACTCCCCCTAAATTTGGCCTAAAATGGTAGCAGGGCGCTATATAGTGGGAAAATGGCGAAAGAACGGAAAGTCAAAATCCTGCGAAGAAAAAGCCTCCGTTCTCAGTGACTTGAAAATCGATTTCGGACGAGTTTCCCGTAGGCATCTTGCCAATCACCGCTACCGAAGATACGGCTGCATGTGTGTACTCATATATCCATGCAGCACCGCTGCCGCTTCATACCAATCCCTTCACTTGATAATTTGCTTAGCAAATGAATCAATACGAGCGTCAGCGCATGAACAGGTGAGGCCAGGAGATGAACCGTTGGAAGAATCTCTTTGGAGATCGTATTTGTTCAGTGGCTAGGGGGTACAAGAGAAATTCTCCGAGTTAACGAGAAAGATTTGTCCCGATAGTTGATTTCTTCCCCTTAATTCGCACCATACACCCGAACGCTGTATCTTGTGTGAGGCATTCCGATAATTACAACTAAAGGACTAGCAAAATCCTAAGGAAAGGTTGTGAGAGGTTGGACCTAAGGCTTTTCAATCTACATTATAATGTAGATAAAAAAGTGGCGCTTGGGGTAAGAACGGGGGTGATCCGCGTTTGGTGAGGAAAGCCGCCAACTCGACTTTTTTTCGAAATGGGTTTTTGGGAATAGTATGGGCTGAAAACATAAACCCGGAGGTGGCATTAATAGCAATACCACATTGTTTGGGGGGGGGGGGGCGCGTCAGATTCCGCCTTATGCTAAACAGACCGGTTGCCGAGCAAATGTGAAACTTGTGAAGTGAAAGGCTTTAGGAAACAAATGTCCAGCAGAACGTATATACCATTTTCACATTTAAATTCACCCTTTTCAAACCAAATTCGATCGGCCTTTTCAAACCCGAATTCACGACCTTTTCAAACAAATTGCCGTGGTTGGTTTGTGACGCTTACAAAACCCTATTTAACAATTCACACCTCACATTTTCACATGCAAATAACCACTTGTAAGGGACGGGCATCACCAAGGCAGATCATGCCAGACATCACGCCGCCCAATGGTACCGCCAGGCCCCGGAGCGCGCCAATGGCCAAACCAAACTTGTCAGCGCGGACTAGATTCTCAATCTTGTGTTCATGAGCCTTGTGCTTTTGCTGTTTCCCAACAAATATTTGCTGTGTAAACGACCGGTATTTGACACATGGCCGACTCCGCCCATTCTCTAAAGGGCTTGGCAATCTAGGCTGACTACGCCCACTTGCCTTTCGAGGACTTTCAATATTTTTTCAAAATTTTTGCCTTTGCTGCTGCGTGAAGCCCCGCCCACTGTGAGAGGCTCCGCCCACTTTGTAAGAAGGCCTCCGCCCACTTTTCAGAAATGGTGCAAAACGGTGGTATAGAGCCTTGGCTTGCATGCTAGGGTATTGCTGAGCATTCGGAATAAACTTTGCCGGATTCTTGTCGACGTGACGGCGAGGCCTGGCAATGCAAGCCAAGGGCTGCTATATCCCGCCGTTCGCACCATTTCTGAAAAGTGGGCGGGCTTCTTCAAAGTGGGTCGACTTTCCAAACCGCAGGCAGCGAAAGGCAAAAATTTTGAAATAATAATATTGAAAAGTTCCATCGAAAGGCAAAGTGTGGCGTATGTCACCCTAGACGCCAAGTCCCATTTAGAGAACTGCGGCGAATCGCCATGTGTCAATACCCGGTCGTTTCCAGTCAAAGTATTTGTGGAAAACAGCAAAAGCACAAGGTATGAAACAAGATTTGAGAATCTATGTCCGCGCTGACAAGTGGGCTTGGCCTTTGGGGCGGGGCTCGTGGTGATGTCTGGCATGACTCGCTTGTGATCCCGCCTTATAACGTGTAATTTTGTAGTGAAAAAAAGTGGGTGAATTTGGTTTGAAAAAGGGTGAATTTGGTTTGAAAAGGGTGAATTTGGTTTGAAAAAGGGTGAATTTGGTTTGAAAAGGGTGAATTTAAAGTGAAAATGGTATATACGAGGACTAACCTCGATAGAAATCTAGCCGAAAATCCGAAAACAAGCAGAAAACTACTCGCAGAAGTACTTTTATGAAAAATATTCATTTTTAGCGCACCTGGTTATAGCAAGCAGGTCAAAAACGGCTCTAACAATGGGGACTTGAACTCTCGCTGAAGATAGAAAGAAATCAATCACGCCTGGCGCTGTCTCTTCTTCTTCAGCGTTGTCCCGCTCGATGCCGGAAAATGCATAATTCATTGCAGCGCTCGTTTCGGCCAAATTTCAGACTTATTTGTGAAATCGCTGTGCAGTCGAATGACTTCGACAGGTCTGGTGAACTAGGCAAGTCTTCCAGACAATTAATGGATCAATTAATGAAAAACTGAGCATGGCGTAGAGCCGCCACTGTCCACTTACACAGCTAATTAAACACCAGATCTGGGTTTTCTCTGTCATGCTCGAATATGAAAAACTCACGTATGTTCAAAGATTATACGTATGGATTAATGTGACCTTCTTAAAGCTTCGAAACTTACACCAGAAAGGGCAGATGGATCCATTGCCAACAGCGACAACTACGTGAGTTGGTACAGGCACTTGTTGCGGTTGGGCGCCACCTGAATATGCGAAATTTAGTGGCAACGAAAAGTTGCTAAATTTTCTGCAAGTATGAAGGATGCCACAAGGATTTTCACCTTGTCACAGATGAGTTTTGTAAGCAGGATAACTAGCCTGTTCAGAGAGCATATCAGGATTATGAGACGGACAAGACAATCGTCATTTGGCGCTCCGTGCCGCATGACGCGCCCGCCGCACATGACGGTGCAACAACAACGATTAACGGAACAAATTCAGCTATCGACTCAGATCGCAACCGAATTCTAACGGAGGCGCAAGTGCCTGATGTCGATCTCGATTTTCCCCCGTGTCTTCAACATTCGGATCCAAATGCCAAGACAGGGCAGCTCCTCTCTCACTAGCTGTGCCTCCCGATTGTCTTTTCCTTCAGGACATTTATTCAACAGGCAATTGAACTATTTCCATCACCCGCGAACAACAGCAAGCTGCTTTCATGTGGTTCAAGATATACGCATACTTGAGTTAGGCAGCGTTCATACTTCGCGATGACACGCAACTACGAGATGCAACGCGCTATAACGCACGTCGACGCGTTGCAATTGCAATAGCGCTGAATTGCAGCACGTAGGACGAACCAACCACAGACGGAAATGTGTCGCCGTTGGCCGCTCGTGTATGAAAGAATAGTGAGGGGGAATAAGTAGGTGCGCGTTGCAACCATGCAGCCTGGTATCGATCGGCACTGGCCGCTAGGGCTGTGATCTAGAACTCCTCCTTTCCTCATTACTTTCTCAAAACCCAGCGGCTGGTGGCGATGGATACCAGAATGCGTGATTGGACAGCGCGCACCCTCCCGTTTATACTCCCTAGAAGCATCGTCATTTGCGAGCGCGACATCGCACGCGACGCCCACCAGCGCGGCGAATTACGATTCTCTTGTCACATACCCGCCTCAGCCACCACAAAAGCTACTGTCAGTTTGGTCTAGGCAAAATAAAGCAATAAAGCATAACCCCAGACTAACAGAAATATCTTACCGACTGTATGGATTGCATGATAAATAGGAGGTTGATTATGAACAGGATACTGCTGTGGATATGGTTTCGGCATTTGACTTGGATGTTGTGCATTTTGCAAACCACCTGATGGATAAGGTGTTGTAGGATAACCCATTGCTGCATTATATGCCGGCGGTGGTTCATTGTACGGCGATGGTTCCTTAAGGAAAAAAAGAACATCAAAACCTTATCTTCAATTTAACAGAAAGCTGTCTTACCCCAGCCCTTCGTTGCTCTGCAGTTGCATCATGGTTTAAATCGGGATATCCTGCGCCGTTTGTATTTTCGTTGCTGAAAAAACAAAAAATTAGCAACCACTGTCTGATCTCACCATCATTAATGCTCCATTGTTAACACAGTAGACCATTCAGTCAAAAATATAGTGTAGTTCGCTGCGGACGGTTGGGCGTGTCAGGCGGGATGAGTTTGGCGCGGTGCCAAACCCTCCACCAGTTGTTAAAGCGAGCAAATGATATGACTGTATCATATCGTTCGTATTACTCGTTTTCTACCACTTTTTGTCGCATGCGCGCTTCAACAAGGCAGAGAACGGCTTTGACGGCGTGACACACTCATACTGCCTGACACGCCCAACCGTCCGCAGCGAACTATACTATACTACTGATGGTCGCTTTCCTTGGGTGAACAGAATCAAAGAAGAATAAATTCTTCAGCGTTGATCAATATCCTTTGAGATGTGCCAGCATTCCACCTCTATTCAGAATCGGAAGAGTATTTTGACTGCGATCTGGCCTATATAACGACTTCTGGGAACCCGCTGATGTATAAACCGATGTTTCTGTCATCACAGACAGGCCCGGGGCTATTTCGTCAACCTCGAAGGGGTGACGCACTCCATGGAAACGTACAAAAACCAACGTGAGACTCCATCGAACTACTGTTCACGTGAACAGAGCGTTACTACTAAAAACGCAAAACTGGAGAGGTTGGCAACGCTTCAAAGTGACAAGTTAAATGAGTCAGAAGGAACAAAATAAGAATTACTGATTCACGCCTATATAGTAAACAGAAGCGACAGAAAAGAATGGGTGATCTAGCAATGACTCCTGATATTTCTCATTCAGGTTATGAGCACTCTTGATTCTGACTTACAGAGCTCGGAAAAATACTGCTTGGTTTGCTCAGCAATACCCATACTTTTTCGCAATAGCTGAGTTGCCCGAATGAAAAGCGCAGAGCGATCGAAAACTGGTCTCAAATGGTGTAACTGAAACTTTTACTGATAGAGAAAATAACTGGACTAATTGCATCCATCTCCTCCCCCCTCCCTTTGAATACGTGTACTGATTAGTTGTTGACGGCGATTTTTGCCTATGAGCAATATGTTCTTCGAGGTCGCTATATAATCGCGACTATATTACCAGTGATTTTGTAGCCCAAAAAGTGTACCGCTCCAAGTCGTGGTTAACACATTCCGGACTGCCGCTCTGCGGGGATCACCACATCATTACGTCTTTTTTGAATCGATAATCAGTGATTTCATCTGTTTTTCTGCCACATTTTTATGAAAGATGTGTATTCTGCGACCAAAATCGGGTTCTGCTTACTTCAGGGCACAAAACACAGCGCGCAAGGAAAAATGTATGAATTACCACGCGTGGCACGCGGTCCGTAACGTGTTGAACGTTATTATTTTGTAATTGCCCAGGGAGGTGAACCTTGGAAGGACGAAATCGTTAGACCTAGGTTATGTATGGTAGATATACTCTGAGTCCTCCGGCCACCTTCAGTTTTATAAAGGTTTTAATTTTCGTGAACACCCAAGGATGTACGTTCTGCAGTTAAGTTCGTAGTCACGATATTTGTCGAAAAAACATTGAACGGCAACCAAACGAAAACGTGGAATAGCAGGAAAGCTGGCTCGGAGAGGCCCTACCTTTCCTCCACCTTCCTTGCAAGGCTCCCCTTTCAACAATTGGTGGGCAACGGGCTGGCGCCGCGCCAAACCTAGTATACCCTCCTTCATTAGCTAGGAAATTTCCGTGAAAAACTCCTCGGCGTCAAAAAAAGGAAGTTCAAGAGAATGAAGCAAAAATCTGAGGAAGCTCAACTGGCTCACGAGTTTAATTGCAAACCTCATAAATAACACAAACCAAACGGGTGTAAGGAACCCAAAGATTCAATACATGGTTTGTCACGCGATATATGCGCAGTCATACTTTTCCCCTGATTTATTTCTCATTTCTTTAATATTTAAATGTTACTAAGACACTGGTCCGACACTAAAGACGAGTAATCTGCACTCAGTGCAGATATGGGGCGTTTCCTCGTACTTCACTTCAGCGAAGCGTAGGATTGGCTATTTGTTAGGCCGCGTTCATAGCTTGCGACCATGAAGAAATGCAGAAATACGGAAATCGGCACTTTCTGCATTTCTGCAGATTCCGCACTTCTTCACTTTCGGCATTTCTGCATTTCTTCAGATCGATACGTATGTAATGCTTTTCGTCATTTCTGCAGATTCCGCACTTTCCGCACTTCTGCAGTTTCCGCATTTCTGCATTTCTTCACGGTCGCAAGCTATGAACGCGCCTTAGATACATCAACTGGAGACAAATGCGATCCTGTTTTTCGCTTTGAAGAGACATGATTACAAGCGCCTTCAATAAAAATATCCCACTAAAAGAGCAGCTGATGTCACATAAAGGAGGTACATGGCCACACCTACTGCATTTCTGGGATTTGGAGTGAATACCGCACACAAAAGGTGGGAGGAAAAGTGGGGGGGGGGGACATTTTGCAATTTTACTACTTCCCATCGTCGCTCTGAGCCATTAGATAGAGATCTGTGGTGTTTTCGAAGCCACGAAACAACTTGCCAACTACTGTAAAGAACACCTGTCAACGCTTGCAGACAACACTGAGGGGAAGCAGCGAAAATGCAAAATGCTCTTTCCTCTCTCCCCTCCCCCTAAGCCGAGCTGCGCAAAAAAAGAAACA